CACACACACACACACACACACACACACACCACTGCTGTGCACAGAGTTAGTCTTGTCCAAAAAAACAGGTCAGACACCATTATGTTCTGCTGGCATTTTTAACCAGTTCGATGCCTAGACACGTTGCTGGTCAGTACAAGGTCAGGTAATAATAGAATGGTAAATCTAATTCCTGATATACCGAACACTACAGTACGTATACTGTAGTGTTATAACTGAGCGTGTAAAACTATCTGCTCATATAAGCTTTGATTGATTGAACTCGCTGTCCCCTCTTCCTCCCTTCCTCTCCGTTTCTGTCTCTCTCGGTCAATTGCATGTTCAGACACCCACGCATACACACACACACACACACACACACACACACACACACACACACACACACACACACATACAATGGGCTGACACATTGGTGTTGTCAGCTCAGCAGGGGGTAGGCTGGCCCAGAGAAATACCACAGAGATACCAGGCAGGGCAGAGCGAGGGACTCCTCAGTGATGGAGTGTGGTCTGTGCACCTGTGCTTTCCCTCGGTAGGATAATATTTTGTCCTTGTGTTTGCTTTAAGACCTATTTTCCTTAGTTAATGCACCATCTATTGTAGAAAGCCATTTTTCCTTTCATTTTCATGTTCTCTTTGGAGCATTAGTTGCTGTAAATCACATTTATGTTACTTACGCCATATCACTTACTTATTTTTCACAGACTTTTGAGGTAGCAGTACCAGTCTGTTTTCTAGTTATAATTCACAATCCTCCTCAACACACCATCCTAGACCTCTTTTGATCTCTCAAGATACTCGTTCTTGCTCTCTGTCTTGTCAGTATATTATATTTTAAACAAATGACTAGCTATTTATGTGGTAATAGGTTATCATCATTGATGCATTAATATGTAAGGAAATAGCTGTAGTCAAAGTGGAGCTAATTTGAACTACTTAACCCTACCTAATACAATGTTTCAGTAGTTTAATCTACGACATTGGATCATATTTTATATTTCATTTAAACTGTTCATTTTACAAAGTACTGTGTCAATTTAACTTAATTTCTTTTCTTGATTTCTATTTCAAACACTCATATTTCTGTAATATAAAGAGGCATTGCATAGCAACCTTTCTCAAGGTGAACAGTTTTTGTCCAACACATGGTGCCTGTTGGCTGTCGCTGTTGGATGTTGGTAGTGTGCATGTTGGCTCTCACATGACTTACTGGGACACATGAAATGAATAAAATGTTTTTAACTGCACCTCTGCTTTTCCTGCTATGTTAAAGATATAATAGTAATTTATGGAAATAAATGTATTTGATATTGTTATTAGTATAAATGTTAATAACTGTTATGCACATTTATTAAAAACATTATGTGCCAACTCTGCATGGGACATGCACAAAGATGTTTTACCCACAAACCCACACCATGGCAATATTGTCCTAATTGTGGCACAATGCCAAGTCAGGGCAGATGGCTGTCTCCATGCCAACAAATCATGAAAATAAATCCTGTCATATCAGATATTATCATGTTGCTTTACAGGTATTTGACATCAATACATTTTTATTGCAAATATCTTGTGCCTCATTTACAGCGAGTCCTTAAAGCATGGTGGGTATTTTGATGCAATGTAACTTTACATAGAACCTTTTCTTCTAACCTCTGTTTAAAGTATGAAACAGTCAGTAAGAAAATATTACTCCCAATTTCAACAATGAAATTTCTCACAAAGGTAGGAGCAAAATCAGTCAAGAGCTGCACACTCAATGCCAACTCACCTTTCCTCAGTATCAAACACAGAATTCAAATCAAACTGGGTTTGAGCACTAACAAGAGTTGAAGAGTACAAGATAAAAGAGGAGGATGAATGATCCTCACTACATTTGTACTACACTGATGTAACTCCACCAGACTTAAACACACTGCTACCAGGGTGTGTCATATTAGGTTGAAGGCCAATTAGCAGAATTTGCCAGCTGAAAGAGTGTGGCAAGCAGCACTTTGATATGTGAATTTTCAAAGCGACGTGCAGGAACAAAGAGAGCTCTGACAGAGCAGGTGCATTGTTTAAAAAAACAGCTGCAAAATGATTTAATATGAAAATGACAAACAGCATTGAAAATCATGACAGCACTTCCTAACAAATAAATAATCAACAATATGGTAAAATCACTTTTCCTGTTAGTACGTGTATATTTAATTTTTTTCCTTTGTGTTATCTTTTGTTTGTGTGGTGAGTACATTTCTTTGGTTTCGAGGCTCTACGAGAGCATTATACAGTGTATCTCACGTCTTTGTTGTTTTTAGAAGTGACCTGAGGCATAAGGCATCACAGGATTTGATGTTTTGTAAGACCCGTAAGGGTTTAAGGTTTTTGAATTATTAAAATCCCTCCATGTTGATGTTTTTGAACTGCCTGTCTACACACAGACACAGACACAAATGCATGTGTGTGAGCAAAATCCTATAGTGATCGTATCCATCAATCCTCCTCCTGAAAACAACACACACACACACACACACTCATCCCATCCTTTCAGAAAGACTTTTGGTGGCAGCCTGTTGTATTTTTAATGCCTTTTTTCTTTCCCAGCTGTGTATGATGAATGTTTGATTCGACCTCCCATGGCCTTAGGAGAATATGACCAAGCCCAGCCTACCAGGCCACAAAGGCCCTGAAATATTCACATCCAGGAGCTGCTGAGTGGACTCCTGTTCCCGATGGCCTTTTAAAGTCAATAACGCACCTGCAGTGACCCCATCCATGAGCCCGAATCACATCAATGAGGCTTGCCGGAGGAAAATCCAGCATGAAAGTCAGGGTTTTGCTGTGTGTGTGTGTGTGTGTGTCCTTTTTGTATCTCTGCATCCTGCGTTGTCTCTGTCAAATGTGTAATGTTTGTTCTTGCAACAGTCTGCTGCAGCTCTTTAGTCTATCTGCTTTCACAAAGAGCAAAGTTTCAGCTGCTACTTTAGATTATCCTCCTGGGAAAACTGTGCATATTTTATCTTTAAATCAAAATAGAATTACTTATTATTCACTGCCAGTTGCATTTCACATCTACACGTACCATACGCACACACAAACACAAACACACTGTTTCCTTTCTAATAAAATATGACAGACTGGAATCCTGTGATCTCGGCTCTTTTCATTTGCTATCCATTTGTAGTTGCCCATCTTTAACCCCCCTCTGATTTCATATTTATATCGTGTTATGGTAGATGGAAGCGTTCCACAATCAAAGAGGTGGGGTTTTTTTTTTCAAGTGAATCTCTGGAAACTCCACACTAGACTGGGACCAACCTGAGTGAGATCAAAGATTGATACTGTGATAAAACATCAGTATGTCCATTATCTCTGCATATGAAAGCTACAGTTAGAAACCAAACACTGCAGCATAAGGGGGTAAGTAAATACAGAAACACCATGTTTGGACAATACTTGAGTCCATTTCTGATATTGTAATTATATTTGATTTGCTGTTGTGATGTTGTGCATTTCTGGAAAGTTGAGCATTGTGAAACCATTTATTAGTCAATCAAATATATAATGTGAGTTTTGTATTTAAAAACTAATTAATGACAAATGTCATGATAGAAAAATGTCTGGTTGAGTATTGCAATTTCAGCAATAGCCCTACTAATCAATTAGTGATGTTTTGCAGCCATTAATCTCATCCTGACTGTGAATTATTCTGAATTATTCTGATATCAAACTAAAATTAAATCAGATTAGATTAAATAAATCTTGAAGAGGTTGCAGCTTACCATTTCCCTGTAACCTCTGGACTGTGAAATCTATTAAAGGCATTAAATATCACATTTAAAACTTTATTTTTACTTTACTTGATGTGACTAGTACTACAACTGCTTATACCATAATTACTTTATTTCAAATGCACAGTGGCACTTAACTGCACAATACAGAGTAAAAAGAAAGTGAAAGAAAGAATCACCTTAAGACTAAACCTATAAACCTGTGTGCCCACCTTATTAAAACAAAAACAATCTGAATCATCCCACCAAGGCATTCCCTATTCAGGATCGTATTTACAGGAACATCACCTCTGGAAAATATGTACAGTACATGTGTGAACATTTTAATTAAAACCATTTTTAATACCAAACACCACTGAAATAGATAAATAGTACTGAAAGAGGTGATCCAGCAATTTAACATTTCATTGCAATAAAATTAGGTGACTTGAAAGATATAATCAAGTGTCAAACAAATGCCGGAACCCACATTTCTCATAATGCAACTTGATAGCATCTTTCATTATTACCCTTCCTGACTGGTAACTCCACACACAGCGGGCTGTTTAATACTCCTCGTGATGATTAAACTAGCTTCATATGGACAATTGGTTGAGTGCCCATCTAACAGTACTTTATTCAGAAGACAACATGAATAATACAAAATAGTTAGTCAACATTCACAGTTTTTGAATGTTAAATCAAAACAGAAAAGCCTTGTTTAAAGTGATTTTCAGGCGTCAGCAGTCTTACAACTGCTCCTCTTGAAAACAAGGGCCTCTCATACTAGTAGTAGTAGTACTATTAGTATAGTTTTAATGTCAAACTTTGAGAGAAAGAAAAGTGATTAATGGTGAAGCATTTCCTGAAAAAGTACAGACACCTGAATACTCCCTGATAACAGAAAATAATTCCTACAATTTTTTTTTTTTTTTCGCAGGGGTTAAAGTGGTTTTAAAACCGCTTTTTGATTTTATTTTGAAGGAGCAGTGGTTAAAAATAGTCTAAGTTAAAGTACTCAAACACATCAAACCCGTGGCTGTCTTATGGAGTGTTTGTAATGAGTAACAAGTAATAAGGAGTCCACCACTGGTGAATATGGACAGCACAAAGCATCAGATCTCACTGACTTCCGGAGGCGTTTGATTCGTTGCGGATGACATCAGCTGGGGAGTGAGTGTGCGAAAAAAAAACCCCGGCGCCCTCTTCTCTCCCCGGTTACCGAGTATATGACACAATGTCTGCTGGTATAAAAAGCTAGGGCCACTCCTATCAAGGCTGCATGTCTGGAGACCACTCTGGTGCTCTGCAGCCAATAAAGGGAGGAGGCTGCAGCTGGCATCCTGCGCGCGTATACAGGAGATACGAAAGAGAGTGATAGAGAGAAAGAGAGAGAGAGAGGATGGCCACCCTGGTAGAATCCGCAGATATGGAGACTTTAGGCGGCCAAAGCACCACCGGGGCATCTCCGACCTCCTCCAGCCCCTCGCAGCACTTCAACGACAGCAAATTTTACCTGCTGGTGGTTATCGGGGAGATCACAACGGAGGATCACCTAAAGTGTGCCATTGCGGACATAGAGAAAGGTAAGATGGAGCTTCGAGAGGTGGGTGTAGGCGACCGAGGGCTGAACTTAACATCTTCAGAACAACTTGAACAGAGATGTATATCTTAGAAGTTCTTATATCTTTTAGAGTCATGTCGGCTGTTGATACGCCGGGTTTTACGCATGATACATTATGCCGGAGCAAATTACGCATATTAATGAGTCATTAACTAGTATTTAGTGGGTAACTAACTGAACTAGAAGTGATGTTGTAATGATAGGGATAATGGGGATATGGAACTGCCCCTCCCAGTAACATCAGCGTAACGCTATGGCCAAATCTCCAAAACGTTCCTCGCATCTTTTAACCCACAGGTACCTTTCCTTGCCACGCTGTTTTAGCTATTCTAAATCTTTTTTCTTTTCAAATAAAATGTCAGTAGGCCCAATTGTTGTCATCCACACACGTGGGGCAGGTCCTCTAATAACGCCGGTAGCAATGATTCAGCATTAACTCAGGACTATGCGTCAACAATGCAACATTTCTTTGGCTCCAGTGCAGCTGCGGGTTTTTCCTCGCACAGCACCTTGCCATGCCAGGCTTTATTCAGGTGCGTCAGGCTTTTGTTTCAGGAGAGCTGAGGGTCCCACGCTTCATCAGCTTACAGTCAGGAAGAGACAACGGGGGGCTTTCTCTCTGTTTGTGCTGCTGCGGGAGGAAGCTTCCGACAAAGCTGAATAAACGCTTTGTGTTTCGAGCTTGTGTATGATAACAGAATGGTAATAAATGAATTCCCGTTTCATCCCGTGTGAACATGTCTCCATCATCATCGTCTCCATCTCCATCATCATCATCATCATCATCATCATCATTCTGCATCCAGCTCTCTCATCCCTCGCCGGCTGGTGGGCGTGGCTCGGTCCGCACTGCGGTCCCTACGGAAAGCCACAAGGAACGATTTAAAAAAAAAAAAAATGAGCAGGGCGTTTTAGAAGTGCTACAGCTGCTGTAGTGGCCTGCCTCCCTGGCCTGAGTGTGTGTTTGTGTGAGAGAGGAGGGGGGAGGAGAGTGTGGCGCAGTTACTGTGTGGGTGTAAAATCAAGTGAGTTTTTTTTTTTAATATAGGCAATATATGAAAGCTTCTAGAGGGAATCATGGTTTTTATATTTCTCCTGCACTTTGTCACACAGACAGAAACAAGCACAGAACTGCTCCTTTAAAGATGAAAATGACTGAGGTCGATATCTGGTCTGATTTTAAGGATCAGCCATCACAGATCACAGTAGTCCATTTTACTGTTCTATTGTTACATCAATTCAATAGATCGTGTTGGCCCTACATATGTCAGCTCTTGAGACTGAAACTTTCCTCTTGACCTTGTAAAAAATCAAAACACAAGGTCCTTCAGTAGCGGTTCTGGAGCTTTTGATCAGATGGAGCTTGCCGCATTTTTTGTGGATTATTTCTGAGCACTTAAGGGTTTTTCTTTTATTCTTGAATTCCCTTTCCTTTTGGTTTTATTCTCCATTTTCCATTGTTGTAATCCATTTTGTATTAACATGTGCAATCACATTATTCTCAGTCCTTCCGTAGCTTAGTGATCGGACAAAGAAAACATGTTATCACCTTCATCACTCTTTAATCAATTAACAGCCTCTTGTTATTGCCACACCCTGTGCTTTAAGTTTGGGCCTACTGTTGTAATAGCCTTTTTCGACGAATAATACTGCAAGTGAAATAAACTTTTATGTCCATCTTTCCATCATGTGCACTTAACCTCGTCTTTATTCCCAGTCTCATCCTGTTACTTCACAGAGGCCTCCAGTAGGCCATATCAGCATAATTATGAAGACAGAATGATACCACCATGACTCAGCTAAGTGGAGCTACCAGTGCGTCTAGCCCATGGAAAAACACAAACAGGGCTATAGATATTTCCAATCATAGATTTCTTTTCTCATGCCAAACCGGTAACAAGTCCATATACATGTTCACTCTATAAGATTTTCCAATGAACTGTAGGCAAATGATTGCGTGTGTGGGTGAGACTGTTAGACCTGTTGCCAAGTTCTTAGTGTAATGTCTGCTGCATGCATTGATTCGTTTTCAGACCACAGAGCTAACATGTGTTTTTCTTCATTGGTGTCTATCCTCCTCCTTGCCCTTTTTTTGTTTTCTTGTTTATTTTTTTGAATGTCTTTGCTTATCTTGCAGGGATCCGCTCATGGGACACCAACCTTATCGACTGCAACCTGGACCAAGAACTCAAGCTGTTTGTCTCCAGACACTCAGCTCGTTTCTCTGCAGACGTCAGAGGTAAACTGGAAATAAAACACATTTTCACTGATCATTTCACAATAGCAGTCTGATTATGCTTTAATATGTGTGTACCAATGTGACACACAGTGGTGGAAGAAGTATGTAGATCATTTACTTAAGTAAAAATGATAGTACAACAATGTAAAAAATGCCTTACATTCAAAGCCTTATTTAAGTAAAAGTACATAAGATCACATATAGATAAAGTATTAATAATAAAATTACTCATTATTTATAATATGTTACTATAGGTAAAGGATTATTATCACTGATGCATTAACATGTAAGCAGCATTTTTGTTGTGGTTGGTGGTAGTGATTTATTAAGTGATGGGCAGTTAAATCTCCAAACTAAATTTGAATTGTGAAAACCTAATTTTGCAGTGCACTGTTTCTACCTGCCATTTCTCTTCAGACACGTTTTTAAGTATGTTAAAAGAAATACTATGCTATTATTAATATTTTGTTTAACAGTGTTTTCCCACATAAAACAAACAAAAAGTTTTTGTTTTCTAGAAAGTATCTTAACACGAGAAAAAACATGGCTGTGCCACTAGATTTTTACAAAAAAATATCAGAAAATGCTGAATAAAACTTAAATTCCAGATTTAAATGACTTCATAAATTTGTTTTGTATGAAAAATAATCTGTAAAACAAGCAAAGGAACTAGTATCTAAAATGGTCAGAAATCATAGTGAGGAAAAAAGTACAATTTTAGGTAGAATGCAAATACTACAATTATCTCCAAACTGCACTTTGTATACCACTGCACTTTTCCGTAGTATACACTGTCATGTCGCAGTCAGCTATAACTTCTGAGCAGTACACTATGCAGAGGGGTTTTATTACCTATCCCTGGATACGCCCTCTCAGCATTTTGTTACATGGTACTTTAGCTGTATCTTTCGCAAGGTGAGAGAGAGGCTCCATAAAGATGGAATAGATCCAGTATGGCAGACCATGTGGTCTGTCAGTGGGCAGTATGGCCTTGACAGGCAGCAGCAAAAAAGCCTCTGCTTGGCTCTGCTCCATATTGGATATGACCTGCAGCGCTTCATACTTCACAATAGATTGATCCAGCCAACAACTGCTGCTGTAGACTAAAGCAGGTGATTTAGTTTAATGCAGCAATATTCCTGTATCAGATCTCAGGATTGGGCTTACAGAGATGAAATACAATCGGTCTAAAGGGAGGTGAAACATGGTGATTTATCTACAATAGCATTCAAAGAGACTCCAAATCCCCACTCCCTTTCATCCAACCTTGTTTTCCACTTTCCCATCCTCCATTCTTCTCTCTTTCTTCCTCCATGTGTGCTGTTGCCTTGCAACCCAGTACTAGATGCACAGTTGATTCGGGAGTAATTAGCAGTGTAGAATCCCCAGTGGCAAGTGTCTGTCCATGAAAATAAAGAGGGGAGGGGAACAGAGAGGACTTGGGGAACAGAGAGGGTGCGGGGAAAAGAGAGAGGATGAGAGAAAAGCAAACAAGGCAGCAAGGGAGGGAGGGGGATGAGGTAGGAGAGGCAGAGTAGGTTAGGAGGATAAAATAGGGTGAAAATAGATGCAAGTGGGGAGAAAGCTGCAACACAGAGACAGAAATGCAGTTCTGATCCCTGAATTAATGAAGCCAAGATTTTGAGAGTTAATGCTGCATAAGCAGTAAAACTGGAATAATATTGTTCTCTTATATTCTACGCCTCAGGCTTTTCGCCAAGTTTCTTTCTCAAGGGGAGGATTTTCATTGTCTTTTGAACTTTTTGAACTGCTCCATGAATGTATTCCTAGAAACTTATAATATTTAGCTTGACATTCATTAAGTATAGTTCCCCTGCATAAAGTTATGATTGTTTTCATTCATATAAGTGTATTTTAAATCTAAATTTATAAATCACCCATTTACTACTGTCTGGAACACAGAAAGCATTTTAAAGCAATAGTTTGACATTTTGGGAAATACACATTAATCCACGAGTTACCACTCTCATATCCGTATGAAGCTACTGCTGGTCAGCTTAGCTTAGTATAAAGACTGACAACCGCTACCAGCTACACTCTGTCTGAAGGTCACTAATTAACACTTTCTATGTAGTTTGTTAAATCCGTATGAAGTGAACAAAAAACAAAACAAAAACGAAGAGTAAAAAAAAATATGTTGTGGTTATACAACAGGTTATGTGCCGCAGTGTTTCTTGGCCAGAAGCCGTAAGCTCTTGTCAGAGATCTTATAAATGTACTGCTCCTGGTGGATAGGTAGGCAGATTTTGTTACCTTCGGACAAAGCCAGGCTAGCTGTTTCTCCCTGTTTCCTGTATTTATGCTAAGCTAAGCTGCTGGCTGTGCCTTTATATTTACTTGATATAAGATATAAGAGTATGGTCTTCTCATCTAATTCTCAACAAGTAAGCGAAAACTTGTATTTCTCAAAATGTAGAGCTTCCCTTCACGTCTGGTAATTTGCACAAATCATAGATTAAACAATAAGTGCATTTTTCCGGTTAAGATGGTTCATTATGTAGCTGCGCCACTTACCTTTACCCTTAGCTTGTGGTGCATTCATTGGTTAGAGCTGAGTGCTTACAGGAAAACACAAACCAGCAGGTGGTATTGGGCGGAGGAGGACGAATGCAATTATCTGTCCGCTTAATAGATGACATGCCATCCATCACACTATGTTAGTGCACAGGAAGCCTGGGCCGCACAGTGAGGAGGAGAAGGGAGGAAAAAGGGGGTAAGACAGGTGACCCCCGGCGTCTTCCTGATGTATATATGATACTTCTGGTATAGATTTCCCAGCTCTCTGCTTGCAGTGCAGACAGAACTGAAGCCTTAACAGCAACCGGAGAGTTAAAAGGCTGCCTCTGAACCGCAAATCCATTCAGTGATCAATAGTAATAAATAATTGTGTTGACTTTCACAAATGAAATTGTCAGAGATAAAGATCCTCCTGATATCTTTCACAAATACAATCCTGTTTTTCGATGCCCATTAAACAGTTCCTGAGTGTAAAGTAACTGTAAAGCAGCAGATTGATTGATCAGTCATGCATCTATCAAAACGCATTAACCTTCATCTTCATAGCTGGAAAAGCTAGGAAAGATCCAGGTAGTGGGAAGACATAATAAAGTAATAGTTATTGTCTTTTGTTTTGACAAGCTAATTGCTAACGATAATGGCAATAAAGGAGCTTATACCTGAGTGTTATTTAGAGGTATTGAGTTTATACTACCACACAGGTGACTGACTGTTCTGTGAGTCAGTCAGCTTAACAGCGGTGGCAGTGCCATTAGCTCCATGTACAGACATATGACGTATACTAGTTCCCTTTTTAATCCAGTTGCAGGGACACAGGAACAAGTCACATTGAAAACTGTGCTCAGGGGGCCCCCATCTAGGCTGCTGAAAGTCACCGTGGTCAATTATTCTGTTGTGGTGGAAAAGGAAATGACAGTAAGAAGAGAGAAAGGTGCTGAGACACAAAGGGCATCCACCTGAGGAGATTAAATTAATAATCCTTACGTGCAAGGTCTCATGCGAAAGGTAGGAGGCAATGAATTTAGTTGTTCCACTGATCTATTTTTGGTGTGGTGCCATCCACATTGATGTTCCCCTGTCTGGAACAGTCTGTGGCAGACAGGCTATACCAGTCTTGCACTTTCTATTTAGCCAGAAGGAGTATGCTCAGTGATGCATGTCACATTACCTCGCCTCCCGCTGAGACAGAGACACACTGGGCGCTAAGGATTTCTATATCGATCAAGGTAATTGTCCGGGTCAATCGAGCTCCAGTGCACAATCTGTCATTTTTTGATGAGTTAGCCAAGACACCAATTTGGTAGGGTGCCTTCCTGGCGCTTTGCGAGTCCTTAACATGTGCAGACGACTGTATTTTCTGTTTCCCCGCATAAAAGGCTAGTAAACAGGGCGTAACCCACAGAGAGACAAAGAAAAACAAAATGCTTTTCTATTGCATTACCAATTACAGATATGGCTGGTGTACAGTATCATGAACAGGATGGATGATAGACCTCCATGATTAATTGTTTTCTCATTTCACAGATTGTGAAAACCATTTCCTCAGTCACTTGTTGTTATAGAGGAGATCAGGTCATCAGTTTAAGACTGCTGCCTCCTCCGAACAAAGCTGAGTGAAGCTAGTTTCACCCACAGTCAACTGGGATTTTAGACTGGCACAAATCTCTAGACTGATAATAAAATGCACATGTGAGTAGGTTTCCATGAGAAATCAGTTTCCATCAGAAATGTGCCAAAAATTGAGATGTGATATTTTGGTCTCACAAACATGACATGTTCACATGTCAAGGACAGATGTGCAACTAAAATAACAAACTTTAGATCTGAGTATAACCATTACAATCCTAACCTTCATCACTGCAGAAAAAAATCACCTTAATTGCATCTTACAGAAACCTTTTCCCAGTAAAGATGAGTATCATGATGATGTCATTTTAATCTAGAACAAGAGTAAGAGTCTACAGCCATTTTAGCTGCTCTGTGAGGTTGTTGGCCTAATTATAGGCACAGTAGTGCTTTGAGCTACAGAATTCTGTTAGTTTTGCCATTTGGTCATAAACCAGAGGTTAGGACAGACTTAAATTTGCTGATGGCGCAGTGAAGAGATTGCCAAAGATGGCTTCATCCACTAGGGACCATGAATAAGTTTCAAAAGGTTCAAGATATGTCACTAAAAATAAAAAATAAAAAACTTAATGGTGGCATTACAGGAAAAAGGCAAATCTGATTAAATCATTATTTATAAATATATATATATATATATATATATATATATAATTTAGAATTGTATATATAATTATTATTTGCCTGAAAAGAGATACAACAAGATCTTAAGACATTGTGATGCAAAAATGTCATGATACTGAATTTATATGAAAGTCACACATGGAATATTTTTCCCTTTAGACAACTAACTCCATAAAACAAATGGGGTGCCATATGGGAACTGCTAAAGGGTTGAAATAACCAAACCAAGAGTCATTATGTCTACCCTCACTGAACTCCCCCACTCCACTATTAACAGCAGTGAATGAAAGAGTTCTTCCATATGGAGTGACAGCCCTCGGGGAGGGAGTGGCAGGGTTAATGGCTATATGCTCCATAATGAGAATCTACAATATGAAATATGTATGGAGGAATCAGCCCAGCCGCCAGATAGCTGCGGCAGTATCACATCTCTGGAGACAGGGCACACTCTGTCTTCGATATGCTTCTGAATTTAAAGCTTATATGCAAGCAACACCTCACTGCCCTCTGAACCTGCAGGGAACATATTCTTATTTGTCTGATTCTATGTTCGTGGCAGCATTTACCGTGGATTTACCAATGGAAATCGATCTAAAGTAACAAAATAAAACCAGTCTTTTGTCAATTGCTTCTCTGGGAATCCATTAATTCAAGTATGTAGAAATGAGATCAGATAACGAGGAGAAGAAACAAAGACAAATTGTTTGGTGTAGTGAGTGAAGCCTGACGTGTTGAGGTGAATAATGATAACCTGTCCATGTCTTGTCTGCTGGACCAGAGGATAACCACGTCATGCACACACACAGTGGGATCATAATCATTATCATAATCAATCATCCAAAACCTAGGATGATTGATTATGAGCCTGTCACAGCCCACTGTCCATTTTCTATGTAACAGCTCTGTCTTAAATGGTATATATGGCAAAGTGCAGTAGACTCAACTATTATCAGTCCCCATTATACAGAGAGACCAAACAGTATTGTTTGTTATCTCAAAGGGGCTCAGTCCAACTAAAGATGTTGAGATTAGTTGATTAATTGATTAGTTGATCCTTCCATCTTTTCAAATGGGAATAGTTGCTGGTTTTCTTTGTGTTTTGTGACAATAAATTGAATATCTTCAGGTTTTGGACTGTTGGTCAGACAAAACAAGACATTGGAAGACTTCATCTTTAGTTTGGGGAATTTGTGATGGACATTTTTTTTTAATGCTTTCTGATATTTAATAGACCGTATCTGCTGGTTGTTTAAATAAGCCAAAGCTTGCTACGCGTTCATCAAATTATCTTTGTGAAGTCATAATATATCAGTGTTGTGTTTACAGATTGTTGAACCTAATGAAGGAAACATAATGATGCTGTTAAATTATGCTAAAAGGAAAATCTTACTGCATTATTGTCACCCAAAAAACAGAGCCACGGAGTCAAGCAATCTGATGTCTTACAAAGGATGATGGAGGAGCAATTTAATGCTGAAACAGGTTTCAGTGCCGAGGATTGAGATTCGGGGTTTAAGGGGTGTGTTATACTTCCATCTCTAGAGATTTCATCCATCTTAGAGATGAAGAGCTCTACTCTGCAGAGACCATTAACATTTACACAGCCATATTAGAACTGCCAGATCGACTGTCCTTGATTAATTACTTGATAAATTTGCTGAGCCCTGCCCCATATAAAAGCCAGGGGAGCAGAGATTCATTAGGACTTTGTAATCAGTGTTTTATCTCATTATAATGGAAACGAGCACAATGATGAAAACATTAAAGGTGAAAAACGAATGTGAATGTTTCAGTGATTGTGAGGCTTAGATTGGTTGAAAGTCATATTAGCATTGATGTGAAAAATAATATTTGAATGATTTTCTCTATGATTCTTGTGGTTTCACTCTGATATTAAATTAAGTATATAGCAGCATGTCCCAACTGGCCAGATAAGACTCAAAGTTAATTATTTTACATGCAACACATTCCACCTATAAAATGTCACAATTTTACTGATCAAAAGGATGTCTTAAATGTCTGTATATGTCCAATGGTCCAAAACTTGAAGATATTCAATTTACTATCCCATCTGGTAAAGCTACAAATCCTCATTATTTTGGCTGGAAGTCATGAACACGGTTGCAAATTCATTTCTGTTGTCCTTTCATCTCTAATATGTACATTTCATTTATTGTAAAACATCTGATTAACTTATGAAAGGAACCATTGTAGTGTTCATCTTATCAACAAAATGTACCCATGAAATTAAAAACAATCTAATTTCTTGATATTATGAAATCATGTGACTATGAAAATTGTTTTTCATTTGCAACTATTTTCTATTTTGTTCTGCAGGGCAGAGAATTCTTCACCATAAAAGTAATGTCCTGGAGACGGTAGTGCTCATCAACCCTTCAGATGATGCAGTCTGTACCGAGGTAATATAATTGTTGTTGACAATCTACAATATTATTATAACCTCTTCCTTATTCTTTTTGTAACCATTCCATTCCATGCACATTTACATGCAATTACAGCTTTATCAGTCTTTTCAATTTATACTGTTGTTTGTTGCTGTTGGTTGGAATAAAAAAATATGAGCAATTAGAAGCTCAAGACTAATGCCTTGTTTACTGCTAGAATAACAAGTACAGCCTTTTACCTTTTGTTATTGCAGTATAGCTATTGCTACATTTTGATGGGAAGAAACACAAAGGAGGGTCAGTAGCACAGATGATACAAGATTTTCTCTTGTGTCACTGCTCCTTTTCAGTGTTGCCTCCACCCCCTAGCCATGTCTGCAGTCAAACTGTGCTTTAATAATATCTCACAGCACAGCAGGATTGACCTGGCCAATCGCCCATAACAGCTGATGTTGCTGAAGTAGAAAAAAAAGAACCCATGAAAAAGGAGAGAGGCAAGAGAAAGAGGGATGAAAGGAAACTTGGCAGAGTGGACTGCAAAAGAACAAGTCAGCTAATTAGCTAATGGATTTGAGTGACGTGAAACTGGTGATATTTCAAATGCACTAAATCATTAAGCTAATTTCTGCAGCAGCAATGCTTTGTATTCCCTGTATTTGTAGCCAGTAATATTGTTATCTTACATTATTATTTTCTCTTTCTCAAGCAGTTGCAATAAATAAAATTGTTTTAAGTGCCATACACGCAATGTTTCTTTAACTTATTGTCCATTTAATTTCAACCAAAGTCAGCTGTATGTAATAAAAAAAAATCTTCTTTTTCCATTTCCAGGTTCGTTTGATGATCTCAGACACTGCGAGACACAAGCTTTTGGTTCTCTCAGGGCAATGCTCTGACAACACAGGGGAGGTGATTCTTCAGTCTGGATCTTTCTCTTTCTTTAACTTCATCGACATATTCACTGACCAAGAGGTGAGCCAACAATTTTTTTTTGTAAGCACCCAAATTTTGAATATGATCTATGGCACTAATACAGTAGTTTTACATATTTTATACATACCTGTTGTTGCCATTAAAAAACAAAAACCTTCAGTTTTGGTGATTTTGATGTTTCACATTTATGGGAGGCTTGCCTTCCCTAAAATCTTGCTTTCTTGCATTGCATAACAGTCTTAAAATGTATTCACATACATACAGTACAGGCATGTAAATATACTTAAACTGTGATTGCAAAGCACTATTCATTTTATTACAGTATCCAGAGTGTTAAAATATTAAGATGTTAAAGTCACTTAATTTTTCTCATACATAGATTGGTGAACTGCTCAGCACCATTCACCCGGCAAACAAAGCCAACCTTACACTCTCCTGCCCTGAACAAGGCGACTGGAAAAACTCCAACTTGGACAAACACAACCTGCAGGACTTCATTAACATGAAAATAAACTCCACTCTCATACTCCCTGAAATGGAGGGCCTCTCAGAGTTCACAGAGTATTTATCTGAATCAGTAGAGATCCCATCTCCTTTTGACATGTTAGAGCCACCAACCTCAGGTGGATTCCTCAAACTTTCCAAACCATGCTGTTACATTTTCCCTGCTGGCTGTGGTGACTCTGCTCTCTTTGCTGTCAATGGATTCAACATGCTCATTAATGGTGGCTCGGACAGGAAGTCATGCTTCTGGAAGCTAGTGAGACATCTGGACAGGGTGGACTCCATCCTTCTGACCCACATTGGTGATGACAACCTGCCAGGCATCAATAGCATGCTGCAAAGGAAGGTGGCAGAGCTTGAGGAGGAACAGTCACAGGGTTCAACAGCTAACAGTGACTGGGTGAAGAACATGATTTCTCCAGATATTGGTGTTGTGTTTGTGAATCTTCCTGAAAACCTGGAAATTCCTGAACCTAACTACAGAGTGCGAAGGAATGTTGAGGAAGCAGCGTTCACTCAGCAGTTCCTCAACAAGCTGAATCTGAGGATAGAGCCCCTGCAAAGGCCTGTTGGAAACACCATAGAGCCAATCATACTTTTTCAGAAAATGGGTGTTGGGAAGCTTGAGATGTATGTGCTTAATCCATCAAAGAACAGCAAGGAGATGCAGCACTTTATGAAGCAGTGGACAGGTAGTGAAAAAGACACTGCTTCTATTCTGCTGCCAAATGGAAAAGAATCTGAGTTCCCTGTCTCATACCTGACTTCTATCTCTTCACTTATCGTGTGGCACCCTGCAAATCCATCAGATAAGGTTGTGCGTGTTCTCTTTCCTGGAAATGCAACCCAGCATCACATCTTTGAAGGTTTAGAGAAACTTAAGCACCTGGACTTCCTGAAGCTGCCAGTTGTCACTCAAAAAGCGATGTCCTCTACTTTGCCGTCAACACCAACACTAAAGCAAGCTAAGATGAAACACAGAACAGACAGCAAGGAGAGCCTAAAGTCTACACCAAAACCATCCCCAATCAAAAGTATCAGGAAAGATTCAAAAGAGGAAACACCAGAAAAGGCAAAGACAGATGCAGAATCATCTCATGAAAAAACACAAAAGGCAGAGAAAAAGGACAAGGTCCCACTGAAAAAGGAAAAGCCAAAGGCTTCTGAGAAAGAATCTAAAGCAAAGGCAGAGCAAACAGCCCAAAATGAAACTCCAGAAAAAAAGAAAGTTGTTAAAAAGGAGACCAAATTGTCCATGGAAAAGAAAAGGGAGGTTAAAAAAGAAGTAGCAAAGAAAGATGATACACCCAAACAAGATGCTAAAAAGGACGAAAAAGTAAAGAAAGAGGAGGCAAAGAAAGTTATAAAAAAGGATATCAGAAGAGACTCACCTATGAAGGAGAAGAAGGAGGAAAAGAAAGAGCTAAAGAAAGATGTCAAAAGGCCCTCTAAAGACTTAAAAAAGACTACTGTGGGTGAAGAAAAGAGTCTAGCACCAAAACCGAAGCCTCTGAAAAAAGACAATGTCTCAAAGAAAGATGTAGGAATCCCATCAAAGTTGAAAGAGAAAGGAAAGTCAAAAGTGACAAAGAAAGAAACAAAGGTGGATAGTAGCAAACTTGCAGCTAGTGCAGAGGCTGTTGCAGATGATCCAGAAGCAGTGAGATCTCTGATGTCCTCACCAGAGGACCTCACTAAGGACTTTGAGGAGCTTAAGGCTGAGGAGTTGGTGGAGGATGATGCAACTGTGCAACAAAATAAGGAGGAAGAGGCTGTGATGATACACCATGAAGAAATAATACAAACCAAAGAGTCACCTGAGGCATTAGAGTCTGTGGATGAGGGTATAACCACAACAGAGGCTGAAGGAGAAAGTGGAGAGACTCCAGATGAGCAAGTTCTCAAGGGAAAACTCAATGGCAGTGTAAGTGAGAAGTTTGAAGATGAAGGCACTGTAATGGAGGAGACATCTGAGGGAGGAGATTATGAAGAGAAGGGAGAGACAGAAGAAGTTCATGAACCACAGAGAGTGGAACCAGATAAAGATAAGCTTACTCCCTGTGAAGATGAGCACCAAGACAGAAATTATGAAGTCAAACCAGGAGTTGAAGACAACAATGATGTGACTAATAAAAATGTAGAAAGTCAGCACGTCAGTGATAAAGAAACAGAGAAACTTAATGTGTTTGTATCAGCCTCACCCAAAGTGTCCTCACCAGTTTCTCCGGCTGCATCTATCCATGATGAACTGCCTCCAGTTGGTTTTGAGAGCTCAGTAGCCTCGGATGATGAGGACAGAGATGAACCCCCTGAGGATTACACCGTCACCTCTGGCAACACTCAGTCAACCATTGAGATCTCCAGTGTGCCTACTCCCATGGATGAGATGTTGACTCCAAGGGACATTATGAGTGACGAAACCACCAATGATGAATCTCCTTCACAGGATGTTGGCAGGTTTGGGACCTCAGCATCTGGCGAATTTGATCGGAAGAAGCTGTCTCCACTTCAGGACATGCCAGTGTCAGATCACTCTCACAGTGATGCCACAGAAGGCCACGACTACAACCACTCCGCTTCCACAATATCGCCCCCTTCATCATTAGAAGAGGATAGGTTCTGTAAGGAGTTTCCCTCTGCAGGGAAAGCTGAAGCATTTTCCACAGCTCAAGAGTCATGTGAGAAGTACGACACAGACCCGGCTAAACTCAGTTCAACATCCACAACATCACCTCTTGTACGTTCTCCCTCAGTGGACCGCAAGGACACGTTTGATTCTCCATCAATATTTGCTGCTCCAATAGAACTGTCCACCACACTGACCGGGTGCGCCAAAGCACCAGCTGATTCCTCCATCAGCCCAGATGACAAGACATTGGAAGGAGCTAACTCGCCACAATCCTCTGGTCACACACCTTATTATCAGTCACCAGTAGATGAAAAAGCAGGAGCTCTACCACATGTGTCAGAAGACAAAGCACAGGGTCCAATAATTGTGGAGGTCACAAGTGATAAAGATGATTCCTCCAATAGAGTTACCCCAGAGCCTTATGAGCCAGAACCAGAAAGTTCCTCCCCTGTAGAGAGAGTAATGTCCTCTCCAAAAAGCCCACCTCCAACTACACTTGATTCCCCAAAAAGCCCACTGCCAGCTAAACCCGATTCCCCAAAAAGCCCACCTCCAGCTGAACATGATTCCCCAACAAAGATGGAAAAGTCACCCTTTGATGTAGATCACAAGAAAACTGAAGAAAACAGCAATTCAGTCTTGTCGTCAGCACCAATGACTAAACATGAATCAGACACTAATCCTTTCACATCTTTCAAAGAAGAGAGTAAAATGTCTATTTCAGAGGGTACCACATCAGACAAGTCAGAAACCCCTCTGGAGGAAGTGGTAGCAGAAGATACATTTTCACATTTAGCTTCAGCATCCACAGCTTCTCTGGCCACCAGCTCCTTGCCAGAACCCACCACTGACTCTCCTTCGCTTCATGCTGAGGTAGGCTCCCCTCACTCAACAGAAGTAGATGACTCTTTGTCTGTCTCAGTGGTTCAGACCCCAACTACCTTCCAGGAGGCTGAGGGATCTCCATCCAAGGAAGATAGCCCAAGGCCCATGTCTATCTCCCCAGACATCTCACCAAAGACAAAAAGTAGAACACAAATGCAGGACACAAAATCCCCAGAGCACTCCACCATGTCAATAGAATTTGGTCAGGAGTCCCCTGACCACTCCTTAGCCCTGGACTTTAGTAAGCAATCCCCAGAGCACCCATCTGTGGGAGGTAGCTCACGTGCTACGGAGAATGGCCCAACTGAGGTTGAACACAGCCCTTCTGATGGAATGAATGGAAGACCATCTGAGGAGCATAGCTCTACGGTGGAGAAGCCTCTTCTTTTTGATGAGAGCGATTCAGTCCTTGCAACTTCTGCAACCCCATCAGATGCATCTCAATCTACTCCTTCTGTTACAACTCCATGTCAAATGTCAGAAATGTCACATGTTGTGGCTGAGCAGACAGAAAAGTCTCCAGTCACCCCAAAGGCATCATCTCTCACTCATTCTCCCCATTCCAATGAGCCATCCCCAGTGCTAGGAGGTCCCCCGGCTAGAGACAGCACCAGCCCAATTTCACCATCCGCGGAGAGCATTTCTAATAAATCTGACACACAGCAGAAATACGACAAGTCACCCTCACCTCCCAATGCTACTTCCCCATCATCTTCTTTTACCTTTTCAAAAGAACAGACTTTTTCCCCAGTAAAGGAGACTAATCCCTTTAAATGTGAGGATTCTACACATGAGGCAAAATCCCCTGTTAGCCACAAAGTTCCCCTTCCATCATATCTACCTCTTTCCTCTGATCTGTGTAATTATAATTCTGCCTGTGGCTCCAGGGACCCAGACCCCACTAAGAAGAGCCCCTCTGCTCCATCTAAGACAGATGTCGACCTCTGCCTAGTAACCTCATGCGAATACCGTCACCCCAAGACAGAACTATCCCCATCTTTCATCAACCCTAACCCTCTAGAGTACTTCATCAGTGAGGAGAATGCCTTGAATGAGGAGAAGCCTCTCGCCAAGTTAGGAGGTGGACCCCCACCCCCAGGAGGTAAGCTTTCTGCCAAGCAATGTGAGGAGACCCCACCCACATCTATCAGTGAATCTGCCCCCTCCCAGACAGATTCAGATGTTCCACCAGGGACAGAGGAGTGCCCCTCCATTACAGCCGACGCTAACATTGACTCTGAAGATGACTCTGAGACGCTGCCTACTGACAGAACCTTGACCTACAGGCATGCTGATCCTCCTCCGGTGGCTCTCAGGGACTCTGCTCCATCTTCAGGCCACCATGATGTCTGCATGGTGGACCCAGAGGCGCTGAAGGCTGAAGAAAACCTCCACAATGCAAATACAGATGGAGGAGAAAAGCCCAAGAAGAAAAAACTCATGAAAAAGTCTTCCTCACCAGCCAGGAAGACTGCTCTATCAAAAGTGAAGGACTCGAAGACTGCCTCTCCAAAGAAGACTGTCGGAGAAGGGAAAGATGCCAAAAATGCAACCAATACCTCTGCATCCAGAGGTGTAAAAAGTGCCACATCAGGTGAGTACTATTTACTCATTGTCATCATTTATATCACTTTACTACTTCACACAATTTGCCCATATTTCTTGAGAACATATCTAAGAAAAAGGTATATTTTTAACTCTTTCAGGTACTGGCAGTGGAAAGGTATCAGGTGGGGCCTCTCTGCCCAACTGTCCTCCCATGTACATGGATTTGGTTTACATTCCCAATCACTGCAGTGCCAAGAATGTGGATGCTGAGTTCTTTAAGCGTGTGCGCTCCTCTTACTATGTAGTCAGTGGCAATGATCAGACAACTCAGGAGCCCAGCAGGGCTGTCCTTGATGCTCTGCTGGAAGGAAAGGCCCAATGGGGCAACAATTTGCAGGTATGTTTCAATATGACAATATGTAATTATATGAAAATTAACCAGTGCCATATGCATTTAGATTATTTGGCCAGTATTATTTGTTTAGTTTAGTTTAGTTTTATGTGACATGACAACAGTGAAGTTACACATTTGTGCTTTAAAAAAGTGCTTTTTTTAATGCTCCCCTCCCAATTTCAAGGTGCCAGAAGCATTGGAATGTATAAAGATTATATTCAATAGATTTATTAGTTTTGAACACATTTTGAATTGATTCATACTCTAACTTTGGCTGGCTCGTTGGACCTCTTTTCATTACATTTGCATTTAGATTAGAATGGACTATACAGGAGGGTAAATAAAACAAATCATAACAAACCACCCTCAAATCATTTTCCTGCCATCAATTGAAAAGACATAAAAAAAAAATTCATTTCTCTGTTAAAACCCTGTGGGCACAGAACTCTACATGCAAACATCAAAAGAAAAGAAGCGACAGAAAGACAGAGATATTTTTTGGAAGTAAGGATGATGCTTAAATTCTCTGAATGATTGAGCTGAGAGATTTTCCTCTTTCTGGTGTCAGGTCACTCTGATTCCAACCCATGATACTGATGTGATGAGGGAATGGTACCAAGAGACCCACGACAAACAGCAGGAGCTCAACATCATGGTCCTGGCAAGCAGCAGCACTGTCGTCATGCAGGATGAGTCCTTCCCGGCTTGTAAGATTGAGATGTAGGCCTGTTTAACAAGAGATCAGGAGGCCTAGTGAGTGATAATGAGAGGGGTCATTATTTGAGGAAGAAAAAAAAATCATGTAGCATAAAACCTAAGCAGACACTTAAACACTTAAATGCTAAAATGATACTTCTTGTGTACTAAACTATAAAAAAATAAATATCTTAAATGAGGACTAACAATAACACAATTAGCTTTGAGGGACTCCATGCAAAGGACAATGTTTTCTATATAAAAGAATACAGACTTGATACTTTATCTGATTTTTAGGTATAAATAGATTGTACTGGGGATGAAATTAGAAACCAAAAACCCAGACATGCCATTATTGTCCAACTATACTAACTCTAGTACAGATTAAGTAAGGATGTTGTCGTTGATGTATTGAGTTTCCTCTGCATTCCCAGATCAAAATACATCAGAGCTTTTAATCAATTTAACTGCTGTCAAGCAAATTTTATATTCTTGAATAATGGTTGTTATTCACACCAAAGGATAAAACAAGGTGTTTTCTGTTTATTGCCTTAGGGAGTCAAAATGAATGTATAAGAACTGGTGCAACTAGCAGAAGAGTAGGCAGGTATACACGCCAGAGATCTGTCCCAAAAAGGGACTGTTAGATGGTTACACAGTTGAATGAAGGAAAATATAAATTAGCTTGAAAGGATTCATTGATAAGCATTAATATGATGTCTGACTTCATATTCATCACGGGCGAGACAAAGTGCCCCTACCATCGTGAAACTGTTCCTTATGTTTTCAAATCGGCTGGATTTTATTTGATTTAAAATGTATGTTTGGGGTATTTTTTGTCTGGCTTATGTTTCTGCTGATGTATGAATATTAATTTATGATGCTAAATTTAATTTATTGTGCTTGATTGTCCAGATAGCCTTTTACACTGTGCAACAGGAAGTGTACAACATTGCTGTTGTTACATCTATAAGATTTATAATTTTCCACAATGTTAATGCTTTTTAGAGGATTACCTTCTATTTAAGATCATCTGTTTTATTTACAGATTTTAAGTTATGTCAGAAGGAGAAAATTAGATCTTATTTCTTGTACCTGTTTTTTATGTAATCATTGCGCTATGGGGGAGCTAGTCTTTTACCATTGTAAAGCTGGTGAGGCAGGATATTTTCATAAACCTTAAAATGTCTTGTTTTTCTAAAGCATTGTACTATAATTATAAATAGCTTTGTGGCCGATGGAGTGGTTGGAAGATGTGCATGAGTTATAACACATTAGGAGTTCTTCTCTTTTTTTACATGGGGATTTGCATTAAGAACAAGAGGGCTATACAGGCTAAATACAGAGGCATTCTATGATTTTTGCAAGTCATGCCATGGCATTGTACACTACAGTAAATCCAGCTATTTCGAATGGCACTGTATCAATATAAAACTTGGTACAGCACAGTGTACATTTTCAGGTTGGTGTGAGCATTCTGGGAGGCTGAAAATTTCTTGTGACAGAAGAGTTTCTCCTCTTTAACTAGGATGAAAAGGAAACAGCTTCCAGTAGAGGTATAGTCTTGAGAAGGGCAGCACACAGAGGTGAAAGTGAGTGACTTGTGTGTTTTAGATGAAAGTATGTAAAACAAAAACTAGACACTTTAAACACAGACATGACACATACCAAACTTACAGTAAAGAGGCCACTGATCAGCATTTGCAGGCCTGCTTCTGGAGAAACATTTAACAGATCACAACTCGATGATTACAGGCTTTGGTACTTTGGGCTATTCAATCAACTCACCAAGTTCACCAGATATTCCTGAAATGATGTCAGGTGTTCGTGATACCACTATAGACCAGTTTTCCTGCAGGGGAACCTCAAACCAACACCATGACCAACCACAAACCTACAATATCTGAACTGACATTTCTCTTGACTTGACATTTCTCTTTTCTCTGACTTCTTTCTCTACACTCCCTCTATTTCTCTCTCTTTCTATTTATCTCTGCCTTTTCTCCTAATCTTTCTCTTGGGAGAACTTTAATAATGTTTGTCTGCAGCTGTGTGGTATATTTGTCTTGTGATCTTGCATCCTCTCTGCCCTTTTCCCAAACTCATATGTAACCTATAGCAATTAGTTTCAAGTGAAAGTATTCCTTAGTGCTTTCTGATGTTTGTGTGCAATATTTCCTCTACCCATATGGCAAATCTGATGTAAGGGGAACCACTACTAAAGAACAAACATTCAAAAACAACCACAATAAAATCTGTTGTGAAAAATGAGAACTTTTGTCTTTGCCTTTTTTGTAATCTATATACCCATTTGTGATCTCATGTATTATAAAGCCAGTGTGTTGTTTCTTATAATGTTATATTGATACAGTGATGCTGAAGGGAAAATTTGTTCTATTGCTTTTTACAAAGAGCTTTTTCTGCAGAGCCTAGCTCATTGCGCAGAATCATAAACTTAACCCAATTTGAAGATATCGCAATTGCAAATCTCTCACTTAAAAGTGAGAAATGACTATAGAAATGATTTCACTGTTTACAATTAACAAAGAAGTTACATCTTTGTGATTCTACTCATATAGACTAAGTCTACAGCAACGTTAGTGGCTGTATGACCCTGTAAAGTGGTGCTTCGAGCAAAATGCTAACATCTGCATGCTAACATGCAATATGAGTGCTATTAGTAATTAGTTAGCAGTGTCACCATGTTCCCCATCTTAGTTTAACACGTTAGCATGCAAACATTTACTAAATACCACTAAACATAAAGAATACCTGAGGCTGATATGTAATTCATTTTAATGGTATATGGTCAGAAACCTAAGCGTTTCACAAATAACATTTTTGACTTGATGTTGGCACTAGATGTCTTTTAGCATCCTTGGTGACAATTGTCCCTGAGAGCCAGACAGGAGAGACGGGGGATTTATGTTCCCTCAGAGAGATACAGTGTGAACAGAGAACGGAGGCTCAGTTTTCCTGGTTTAATCTTAAGAAATGTCAAAGTTAAGACAAAAGAGCTGAGTGCTCTGAAACGTTTCTCCTCTGTAAGTAAAGCTATTTGCCTGCCTTTGCAGGCTAGATTTTGTGGTATGTAGTCTATGTCTGGAAATTTTATATTTTAGTCATGCTAGTGGTGTGACTCTAGGGATGGCAGGGAGGGATGGGAATGTAAGTCAGTCGTCTGGTTGATCCACCACATTAGTGCACACTGAAGTATCTCAAGAACAATTGGACTGGTTGTTAAAAGAAGATAAAACAAATGAATAAAATACAGTTTGCAGCTTATAACCAATGAATAGCTTTAAATGTATATGAGGGTATTTAGAACATGACACATGTCGGAAAGATATGTATAAAGTAGCATGAATGCAGAGCATATTAAGCTTCTCCAGTATGTGGTGAACTGAATGACCTCTCGGATCAGACGCCCCAGGGAGAGTGACTGACAAAGCAGAGGAGGAACAGAGCAGAGTGGGATAAGAGGACATGTCTCCACAATTCAGCATCCCTTTGTTGTACAGTGGGAGACCACAAGTCAACATGTCTGATGTCTCTTAGCAAGTTAAAGGCTCTCAGAGTTGTTTCAGCAAATATACTGCACACCAGTAAGCGGAAAGCTTTTATATGTCCTTCCATATAGTATTTTATTATTACATACAAGTTATGCAACCGAGAGAGCATCCTATCTATTTATCCGAACCCCATAATCAGCCACAGATTGTGTGGAGAGTGAATAGGGGTGCATATAAATGTACGTCATATGTCTTGCTATAGATGGAAGCTAACCTATTTAATTGTCTTTCAAGGACAGTGACTAGAACTGTGGGACAGTCTGACACAGCAGTCAGTACCAGCTGTTTTTTTTTTCTGTGCCAAAACTATTACAGTCGGGACATTTATTAATGATGATGGGACACCCCAGGCACTTTCCAAAACCAAAGGGAAGTGCACACAGGGATAAATCAAAGAAGAACCTGGCTGAGTCTGAGTGCTAAAATAGACCTCCCAACAAACAGTGCTATACCTCCCTCCTGATTATTGTATTCTACAACATAACATGTTAACATGAGCTGCCACCACACTAAAACCTTCAACCTGTAGCTGCAGATGAGCTGTATGTTGGAGAGCCTAATTTAAAATAAATGCATGCAAAGAGAGTGAGCGAGAGAGACAGAGAGAGAGAGAGAGAGAGAGAGAGAGAGAGAGAGAGAGAGAGAGAAGAGAGAAACCCACAGAGACACATACACCTTGCAGGATACCATAAATTATCCATTGCCCTGTGTCTGATTGGCTGAGCAAGCAATCTCAGCTGGATGGGCTGAGATCTTGTTGCCACAGCAACAGTGGGGAACCTCCCTGTCCCAGCCCTATTTTCTCTATGCAAGATAGTCTATTTTAGGAGTTAATTTAAGGAGCACCTTAATCATTATACTGATTTTTTTTTTTACAACTACAATCAACTCACTTCCCCAAATGGCTCCAAGTTTAGCAATTAAGTTTCCACAGACGTCTACACACCGCCTGCAGTGGAAAATCACATAAATCCTGAATAAAGAACAATGAAATTAATGAATAAAATTTACTCATGCATACTGTACATTAAAAAAATAAAAAGCTGAATAAAACTTATTAAACTTAAATATTATGACTACTGGAGTTCTGACACAACAAAGGATATATAGCAATCCAGATGAATCTGTGGAGTTGAACTTCAAATGTATGACCACAACATGACCCACAACATGAGAAAATGCAGCAGAATTCCTTTTAAAGGATATAAGTCATTGGTTATGTAATGCTGTCTAGGTCAATGGGTTCACCAACTAGTGGCAGAGTTTGATGCTCACCTTTATATACTAAAGTAGAGATTAAATAATAAGTCTGCTTGTAACTTACATTTTTCCAACATAACATAACATTTGGACCAAATATTTTCATTGTGCAAGCAATTCTGAATATTTTGACTGTTTGATCATAACATAATTCATGGCCCTTTTACAAAAACTTGTATAAGTTCAAAGTATAATTTGATTGAAAATGCCCATTTGTAACCATTATGAAAAAAACTAAAAAGAAAAACTGTAACATTTTTTATATGTATTTTGATATGGGAGACCTGGCCAAAATGGCAGTTACATAAACAATTTACAGAAGGGCATAAAAGAAGAGAGTGTGACTATTTAAACAGTAACATTCTTCATAAAACATGTTTTGGGTGTGGCAGCGTGTCTTGTAAATTATTCCAAGCCCAGTTCAAAAAAGACTCTGGTGGCTCTGAATCATCTAGAGGATCTGGTGTGATAATTGTTTGAGGCAGGAAAAAGCATTTGACATTCACAGAGGTACATGCTGTATATACATAATATACAGAGGTAAATATGACCGTACATATGAATCTCCCTCTGTAAACTTAATCTGCAATTTTGAAGGTAATGACAAGGCCTCAAACATTATATTCATTTGAAAATAATCAGATTAATTGATTTAGCATTAATAATGGCATTATTATAATACCCTAATACCCTGTTGCTCCATTTGCTACATCCAATGACATATTCCAAGAGTATATCTTGTAAAGTAAAAACTGAATTAAATAGCCTAATAATACAAGTTATAAAAATGTATGAGGTATTAATTTTTCTTTAAAAGCATTAACAGAGGGGTATTAGAAACATCTACTGCCAACTTAAAGAGTGAAAAGTAAGGGGAATCTGAGTTGAGCCTGGGAGCTGTGGGAGTTTCTCATCCTCAATAAAAACGTTTATAAATAAATTATATTGCAAAATAATACTATGTAGTATAGCTAGATTTATGGTAATAACAACCAAAAGTGCATATAGTATTATCTTTGTCCCACACATATATACAACAAACATATCAAACTTCAGTCATCAGACGTGTTTAAAGTGCAGTGCAACAGCACCACCTGTAGGTCAAAAGATGAACACCTTTTTTTTTTTTTTTTTTTTTTTTTTACTGCTGGTGTTGTTCAGTAATAAAATGAAGAAAACTGAAGAAAAGATGTAGCACAAAATGAATAGAGCTTCGTGAAACAGAGTAAAAATAAATGACAATAACTTCAATGGTTATAACACACGCTAGTCGTATGCAAGATCACAGGACGCAGCCATATTTGGATGATACCAACTACTCATTGCGCAATTCAAAATTAAAACAGATACCTACACATATTAATTTTTTTATATATATATATATATACTCGAATCTAAATATTAATTCGCTACCAGTGCGTTTTTAAATATGGTTTGCTGTTCCGGGTAGCAATTGGTGTTTTAAAACTTAATAACATCTCCAATAGCACCCCTTCGTTTCCATCTCCGTGGTACAGTCAGTGGGCAACATGGCGCTGGGGAGGGTTGGTAGATGTTGTCGGTCCTTTCTGCTTGACCCCTCAAAACGAGTATTTTGTGGTGTTTTACAGCCTGGCTGGATGGAAGGCTGTATCGGAGGTAAGACGAGCTTTAAAAAAAAATGTGTGTTGTGTGATACAGAGGTGACCATTAAAGCTGGTTTACACACAGAGAAGCTACGGTAGCAATTTGTAACCCACATGTGTAGAAAATATTGGACAGTAACTGACGGTAAGTTGTTTTAATGGCTCATAAAAGTCCTCCAAAAGTTGAATTTACATGGGGTTTTACTCGGTTTGTAGTAATGGTATGCTGTAACCTTTCTCTTTTTTTTTTTTTTTTTTGTCTGGCAACAGAAATATAAACTATAATCTAAGCTAAGCAAAAATATTACCACCATTATTCTTCTTACCACAACAAATACCACTGCATTTGTGTATATTACTGGTGTCTTACTTACTGGAAAAATGTTGTTTTACTTGCAGCGAAGAGGCATCTGTTGTCAGAAAATGTAATCAGACTACACGAATTCCAGCAAAGGAAGCTGGCCGTGGCTCACCTTCGATTGAGAGGTAGAGTTGTTTTTGAGCTGCAGTTTTATGTCATGTGTTAATGGTGCATAAGAGCTCATATTTTCACCTCCTTTTCACAGGAAAAAAGCTGATCAGTAACAAGCTGCAAAATACGCAGCTGATTCTGAGAGATGACCTGAAGCTTTTTCTTCACTTGTGCGATTCTGCAGATGACATGCTGATCGTCAGAGATGCCATGTATAGGTATAGTATATCTTTTTATTGAAAGTTTTGTAAAGCAAAGGAGACCATTTCAGCACCAAAATATGTTTTTATACTCTGTGTTGTATTTCACCAACATTAGAAAGAAAGAAATTAGATTCTTCTAACTTCACAGAGGGGGAAAAAAAAACATCTTTTCAATACTGCTTTGACTATCGTTGTGTATCTGAATTATGAATTCTGAATTATGAAAACGATCCTTTAATTTGCTGCCCCAAGGTATCACCAAGAGAACCTGAACTTTGCATTCAAAGAGTTCAAGTTTGGTCCCCTCTTCGTGAGGCAGTGTTATGAGCTGGGCCTGGAGGAGTTTGCTGCTGCTACAGTTACAGATGAGGTAAATCAACTAAAATAACCAAAACATTGACTATTAAACAAAATTACCATATGGATAAAAACAAGACAGGATTGATATTTTTCTTCGAGGTTGATAACATTTCCTTTCCCATGTCTGAACAGAAAATGAGAGGATTCTTTAACGACTCAACCTCCTTTAACATCACCATAGACATGTTATTCACAAAAGGCTTGTATGAAAGTAAGTGACAGATCAACCTTCTAGTGTTTTGTTCTCCTGAAATTATCATCACATGTATATGATATTGCAATCTTTGGCTATTGCAGAGGCCCTGGAGGTACTAGGGATAATGAAGAGCCAAGGTGTAACGTTAAACACGGACACAGTGACACTGGCAGCTGGCACCTGCTATAAACTGGTAACACTTAAATTAATTGAAGTTTATTTTATTGCAGTCCCAAGTGTTGTGGGGGAGTTAATGGTTTACGAAAACTCTTCACAGTCAGTTAATGTTCTCTTTTATTTTTGGTCAGAACACCCCAAGGTCGTACGAGTTCTGCTCTACTCTGATCGAGGATAAACAGTCCAAAGGGTTCTTAATCTCAAAACAAGCTCAATGCTTTTTTGTAGCATTAGCAATTCGACAGGTGAGTTAACAAATTCTTCTTCAATTCCTTTCATCCATGATAGACAGATGTGGAGAACATTAAAACATCATCAATAATCTGTTTTCTCTTTTTTTTGTTTAATTTCCAGAATGACATTGAAAAGGCAAAGTTATTGTATCCACAAATAAGGAGCTTTGACAACAAATTATCAGAAAATTTGACGGTAAGGGTGCATCGTGTAACTGTAGTGTACATTATTTTCTCGCTGTCGAAGTTCAATTATTTTTTTTATCTTTACATTTAGGTTTTAATATTAGCAATGACAGGAGCAGTGGAAGATGCCGTTTCCATCCTGTCTGCAGCTGTGTTGCCTGACAGACCGACTTTTGTGAAGAAGCCCAAATTTTCAGAGCATGTGGTAAGACAAACATCTGACTATTTAAAAAAATAACTTGTGCTTATTATCAAAAAAAATAGGTAACACTGCAGGTTAGTTAAGGATGCTGTAAGTCAGTGTTTAAACATATTCCTGCCATTTATATTAGTGCTTTCTTCCAGGTTTTTTTTTTTTTTTTATCAATTACTGTACAATCTTCTGTCAACAAGATAGTGGCAAACCTAACTTTAAAATCAAAAGGTTTGAGGTGTCCTTTACGGTGGCTATTGATACATAGTTAGCTCAGTGGCCTCTTGTGACCTTTTTTCAGTTGGATGTGCTGCGCTCGTGTAGCAATGGCGGACCACACATGATGGAAGTGGAGCAGGTAGTGGCTAACCTCAAGCAAGCCGGTCAGGTGACCAGTCAGACCCTCGATGATATGCTCTGCCACACACCCAAAGTGAATAGTAAGCCAGTTCTGGTGCAGGCGAGGAAGGCCAGCCGAAGGACCATGAAGCCACTAAACAACATTCTGCTGTCAGAGTGAGAGAAGCTGTGTGCCGTGCCAAAGCCAAGTCACATCAGTCTGTTCACTAAAGGGTCTAATCTAACTCTTAAAGGAACCCGTCAAAAATGAAAAATGAATGACTGCGGCTTGACTTTGTCAATCTAATGTACTTAATCTACAGTCATCCCCCTTTTGATTTCGTCCCTATGCAACAGTTTTTGAAAAAGGTCACAGTTCATGTTTGTGCAACTTGCACTTTAACAGAAAGCAGATGAGATAAAGTTGCAGAAGTAACACCATCTACCTAAAGAGGTATTGATTTCCTTGCAAGGGTCTCTGTGTATAATGTGTTGTGTGTATAATGTGTTGATTGAGTGATTAAAGATCAATCAGATTTACTTTAAAAAAAATAAATGAAAAGTGTTTCATTGTGTGTGGGAATGCTGGTCCTTTCACTGTAGCTCAACCATGAACATTTACATGTATTCAATATATTGTGAAAGGTTGTTTTAAATGTATGCATTGTAGTGTGTTCACACCATACAGTTGTTTCCTACTGTCCTCTATCCAGTACTAGTCCCAATGTTTGCCTCCCATACATTACCATTACATTTGAGTCACACAGCTAAGCATCTGTTTTTCCAGAAATAATCATCTTTGATAAACCCACACGGTCCCAACACTTCCAGCTGTTCTATATGTATTTTGATCTGCTTCAAACCACCTTTTCCCGAGGTGCACCACTATCTCCTAATTCAAACCTTGTTTCATCACTGTTAATATGGGCATCTGACTTGTTTTAAGACAGATTGTGAATCTGTCCTGTAAACCACCACCTGGGTTTTTTTTTTAGAAAGATACCGATGCTGATACTTCTTAGCTCTGTGACAAATGTAAGGCACAAACTGGGGATCTGAAGCCACACGTGGCATGGTGTGATTTATATTAATAATAAAACCTAATTTAAAAAAAAAAAAAAAACCCGTATTTCACACGTACACTGTGATAATCACAAATATGTAGTAAAATATTCATCACAATCCGAAAGCCTGCTGTTCTGAACAGCATGTAAACAAACCATGACGCACATGAAATCCCTCCCACAATGCACCGCTTACATCGGCTGAGCAGCCAGAGACGAGAACAACGGAGCAGCCTCGTCAACCCGAATAAACCGGCTGGATAAACGACAGTGAACGGGTTTAAAATAGCAGGAAGCGAGTTCGTGATAGTGTTTGCTTATTTGAAACATCACAGGGTAGTTTCGGGCGGATGCAGCGGCGGTAGACACTCCTAGCGGCAGCTGGTGGCGGTGCTTTTTAGCATCAGCTAGCCGGTTAGCTGGTTTTGACTGACGTTGGGGGGGGAGCTGTGTGAAAAGCAGCTGGTAACACCAGGCAGCTGGCCACCACACGAACAAAGGGAAGAAAATATATAACCTTACATTTAAAAAAAATACTTTTAAGTTGATATTATATCTGGTTTTACAAAATAGTCGTACGTGAAGAGGAAGTTAGCGGTTTAGTTTGTTGAGACTGACGTTAGCTAACTTAACTCCGCTATTGTTGAAGTGGTCTCAGGCTAACATCTGTAAATACTGGATTTCGGGAGCTTTAGCTAACGTAGCTAGATAAAAAAAAACACAATGAGCTCTGAGGAGACTGCACCGTCCACTAAATCCACTCCGGAGGATGATGGCATGACCTGGTGGTACCGATGGCTCTGCAAGATAGCTGGGATTTTGGGAGGAATATGTAAGTAGTTGTCGAAGTACATTTCTTGTGTCACTAAAAACTAATAAGTAAATAAATAATAAGTCCACAGAAAACCTTTATCCTGCCATAGTTGCTTGTCTAGTGAATACAACTGTGAGAGTGCTGTGTGCCAGGTGACATTTAAAGTTTGTGCTAGTTTCTCTTATAGACAGACAGACAGACAGACAGACAGGTAGATTTATTGTCTTGTCAGCATACTTGCTATGTTTTATTATGTGGACTCAATATCTCTGCATTAATTTGAGGTTGACATCTGAGACATAACGGAAAGGGTATTAGATTACCATTGGAAAAAAAAAAAAAACATGTTTTGGATTGTGTGTTAAACCTCACTTCAGTTGCTCAGCCAGCACAGACAAAAGCTCTGCCACAGCCCATTGTCCCCTCCCTGCAGCAGCCACTGTCGGGCACCGCCTGTTTGCATGGCTTGCTCATTCCATAACAGTTTGTTAACCCTAAATTTACCATATGGTATGAACACACGTAGTCCACAGCGTGTACGTTGACTCTTTCCCTGAGGACAGTGTGAGACAGAAGTGTTTTTTTTTTTTTTTTTTACTGCTGGCTTTGCAGTTTTCCAGCAGCATTGCAGCCCTCTATCCTTCTCTCCTTCACAGTGACACCAGAGTCACAGTGGTGGTATCACATTAACCACCTGGGGCACTGCATATTCAATGGGATCTGTATTATTAAGGAGGCTGAATGCTCTAAAGGAGCTGGATATGCTATATGGCTTTTCCACTGTTTGTGGTGGTATGGGCTTGTCTGGCCTGAGAATTCACATAGACACTAGGCATATTTGCCCTCTCTTTTCACTCTGGAGTTTCAGCCTGAAACTTGTTGTGCGACTGAAACAGTTGAATCTCAAATGTATCTGTATGGACTGGCAGTCAAAAGCTTTATCATTTTGGCTCAATATCAAACAATATGTCCACTATAAGTACCACAGATTTAGATTGTAAAGATTAATAGATATATCACCAGCTATTCTGATCATGTTTTTTATGCAAAAAACTAAAATTAATAATTATTTGCAGGTGTGTCAATGTGCCAGATTGTACAACACAAGGGCCCTGACATTAGCACACCTACTAGAGTGTAACCATGAATAATCTTGGATTGGATACAGTTGTGTTTGACAACTCCGTTTGTACAGTGTGTTTATTAGCTGCAGATTCTGCATTTCTTTCATTTTCATCCTGAGTCAGATGTTGCCAGAATAATTGACTGCAGTACACACACAAACACACACACACACAGGATCAATTATATATTTAAAATAAGCCATAAATTCACTATAGGAGATACACCTCATATGTTCCCTATGTGTTTATATATACTTCTAGGACTGCTATCATTGATTCATTTACTGATGCCGTGTTAATTCCTTTAGCTGACACACCTCTCCAATGTGTAATGTTGTCATATCACACATTATTTCAAACCCTACCGAAGATTCCCACATGTAGAACGTTGAAAGTGTTTCACAGCCCTTTCACAACCTCGCCACCAGTGGTCTACTTTTCACTGAATCTCATCTCAATATCTCATATTGCAGTATACGCATATTTTAAACAATTAATAGTCAGATATTGCACTTAGGCAGGTTGCATTGGCCCTATTTGTGTAGCACAGCGAAATAAGCAATGCAACTTTTAACTCAAATCATAGCCATGGCAAAAGCTAAAACAGGCCTATATTGAATTATCTTTAAAGGAATCTGTCTGAAACTAATTATCTTGTACATGAAAAATGGAGCCTGCTTTGATTTTGGCACGGTGGTAATTAGTGTTTCAAATTTGATATTAGTTATTAATTTTCAGGCAGTGCATGTTTATTAATGGTTTTTACATCTAGATATGAGTGCTGGATTCCATCATTTCATACAGTGTTTGTTTCCAAATGGCTTTACATATCAGGCACATCAAGACCAACTTATGCTATTTTAAGTTTGTTTGTTGCACAGTTGCATCTTCGTTCTGTACATGCTCCATATGTTCCGCATTGCTGATTTCCATCTTGTGATGTTTTATAGTGTGCAGGCAGTGCAAGCAGCGGCATAAAAAGGAAACATTTTGTTATCATGTTTTTTAAAACAAGATTGACTAAACTGGATCTCTTAACAGCCAAATCCATCATTTTAAGATCTGTTTTCCCTTTTGAGGTATTTCAAAAATAAAATGCCAATAGTTAATGGTCAGACCAGAATATTTTCTGTATAACAGCATTACTTGTCATATGTCTTATCTTAATAAAAGTCTCTTTTGCTTTGTCTTTTGTCCAAACAATGCAGCCTGTGCCATCGCAGGAGTGTGGAACTGTGTCACTGTAAACCCTTTAAACATTGCTGCTGGAGTATGGATGGTGTAAGTCTTAAACACTGTTACACTTACTTAAACATAGCATGCATAAATAGTGTCATTCACATTTCATAAGCTGAGGCATTTTTATATTCTGTTTATATACGGGAGCAAAAACAACAAATATACTATAAAACCTACTTTAAAACCACTTATTTATAATACAAAGCTATCTATTCTATCATCAAGTCTTCATTTAAGCTTAGGTCCATTTTTCTGTCCGAGTACGGTTGCACAATGAAAGTCTTGTTTTGAACAGCCTGCTTGCATAAGACAATAGTTTAATTGTTTTACTGAAGTTTGGGCTAAGGTGTCACTGACACAGTTACTGACACAGTTGTGAGCTGGTTCTAGAGAGATTCAATAAACACCAACTGAAACTAACTGAAGCTGAAAGTTGGATAGCTTAGCTTCAGTGCTTTCTACAAATAAAAATGAATTAATAAAAATTACAATCAAGACATTCTGTCATTCTTTATATCAGACAATTCAATTAATCTAGAAAGTAATTGCCAGGTTGATTGATAAAGAAAACAAACAGCCCTTTCAGTTTCCACAGAAATTACATTATGCTGAGCAACAGGGAGGAAAATGTCATGAGTAAGTTTTTTTTATAGCAATGCAGGTAGTAGGAAGCAACTGCCCACACCTCTACAGATCAAGAAAGCCTTCATATTAAAAAAACAGATTACAGAATAGGCTGTGCCTGACTGTCAGCCAAACTGACATCCTGCCAGTTTTATTCACTTAGAGCTGAAACTATTCATTGGTTAGTTGGTGAACAGAATATTAACAAGAAACTATTTATCATTGAAGTCAATTTTCTAGAAAAAAAATGGCAACTATTCATTAGTTTCAGCCTCTAACATCTGAGGATTTGCCATTTTTATCTCATGAGCAAAAATCAAATCACATAATTACAATAATCGTTACTCGCAACTCACGTTTCACTAACCACCACTGTTGAAACCTTTGTGCTGTTTCCATGACGGTAAACGTGAGCACTAGTGCTCCAACCCAATTGATATACTTTGGTGACAAATAATAATAATAATGGTTATTTTCAACCCATCTGCTGTGTTTAATTCCCTCAGACTTCCATTATGTGATCCAGAGCTGTACAGTATTTGCACAAAATGATTCACCGCTGTGTTTGTGTCCTCTCCTCCTCTCTCAAGGTTGAATGCCTTCGTGCTGTTCCTATGTGAGGTCCCATTCTGTTGCCAGTTCATAGAGTTTGCTAATGCAGTAGCAGCCCGTGCAGACAAACTCAAACCCTGGCAGAAAGCCTTCTTCTA